AACCACCTATCTGACCATCTAGCCCCCTTATTAGCTCTTCAGTGTAAGAGCTCCAGGGTGGGGTGAGAATCTTACTGATTTTTATACTGACCACAGGGTCTAGGATAGTGGTGGTGTATAATCATGATCAATAGGCTGTTGGAAGACCAGGTCTGACCTTAGTAAAGAGGGAACAGAGTGGGAAGTCAGTCAAGAGGGTCTGCACACTGAATCACTATGGGTGGAGGTCAACCAGTGTGGTGGACATGGGAGTGTCCCCTCAACCTCAGGGACAGAAGAAACCATTTCCAGTGTGGGAAGAAGGAACGAAGGAAGGGAGAATACAGGTGTTATACCTGGATCACACCTTCCTTGGTGCCAGCCTGCACGGCAAAGAACTCATAGAACATACTTCTGAGAATGTGAGAGCCCCATGGTGGCTGAGCATAAGGGAAGACATATTAACATAGCATTGCTATGACAGTTTAGCTAATTTTAATCCTAACTTAGTACCCCTTCGGTATCTTCACCTGCAGATGAACACGCAGGCAGGAAATGTTACTGGTCTTTGTGGTTGCTGACTTACCACTTTTTACAGCACATGAACATTCCATTGTGGTGTCAAAATCAAGACCAAGTATCTCTGACAACGTACCCATTAATAATGCTCTCATTTTGTAGTTAGCATGTCTCTTTTCCTAGATTAAGTATTCAGCCCTCTACTACTTCAGTTCTTTTCAAAGTACTTAGAACACTTACGTACAATGAAAGGACTCAGTCCATAACCAAACTGCATTATGTAACAAAAGGAACATGAAAGCCTTGAAATATTAATAGGAAAACACTGCTTTGGTATAAAAGAGAGGTTTTTATTTCAGTTTAGCATCAAGTTTAATTTATGGACTCAAAGAATTTTAGAACTGCTAAAGGGCCTTCAAGCATATCTCTGCTTTTCCCTCTGCCCCCCAAGACATACATAGCAACCCTGTTCTTCAGAAGCATCAGGCAGAAATCCACATGAGAGCCCCTCCTGAAGTAGGGAGATGAGTGTGTGTGGAACTTCAATAATCCACCTCAGCATTCACTCAAATATTTACTGCATTTCAGGCAGGGTCAGATTAAGACTTAGAGGCAGAGCCACCACTGTCCTGCACAGCACCTGTGTGTGCTCAGAAAGAGCCACCCCCACTCATAAAGAGGTGCCTCTCTGTCTGGATGTAGCCCCCGATTCACAGCCTGGCAGAGATGAGGTGCCCCTTGCTCTGGGCAGAAACAGCCCAGCACCGAGGTGCAGGGAAGCAAAGCGTGGCTGGATTTCCACCTCTCCCTGCCTCTGCCGGTCAGGCACTGTGTGCAGGCCGAGAGCGCCGAGTGCCTCACCAAGTGTGGTCCTCCTGGTTCAGGGTCCCAGCTTAGCACTGGAAAGATGCAGTGCGCACCTCTGCATCAACCCACCCAGGCAATGCCTCGTAAGGACAGAACACACAGGTCTGCTCAAGTTAACCGGCTTCTTTCTAGGCACTCTCCACCCCACTTTTCCTTAAACTTGAACTTGGCCTCCAGCACTGGTTCTGTCCTTGAAGGCCGGCCTGGGGGAGAGGGGAGGCGGTGAGAAGGGCACAAGCTCAACAGAGTTTTCCAACCCAGTAGCCTGGGCTCTGCTGCTGCTGTTTCTGCTTTATCACTCACCAGGCCTTTAATTAATCAGTGCCTTGTTCTGTCAACTTTTTTCTCACAAACGGCTTAGCCAACTACTAGGCTAAATTCTTTAAAAGCAGGAACTTCTGTTTTGTTTTGTTTTTCCACTGTAGTTAGCTCAGCCTTTTGCTCATAGTGGACATTTATATGTGTTGACTGGTTTGGGGTGAATTCTGTAGTGTCCCAGAGACTACAAGTGAAATTCATCTATGGACCGATTCAGTTTTAGGTTTCTGTTGACTTAAAGACGCTATGGAAACTAACTCAAGCAAGGTAATTCCTACCACAGAAGAGACTGTCCCCAAGAACCCTACCCCTCCAAGGTCTTGTCAGCAGCAGACTGAAACTATGTAGAAGCCCAACAGCGGAGACTCCCATGTTGAGTGCAGAGTGTGGGAGGGAATGGAATGCTTCCTCAAGGCCTCTCGGTAACTAAGTTACTACAGAGGGGCTGACAATGGAGATGAAACAACAGGTATCATTTAAATCACAGAAATAAATAAATCAGGGTTTTGTTTTGTTTTTAAAGAGGAAGCAAGGACCTTTCAGGGACACTAGAGTTAACAAAACAAAACCAAGAAAAAAAAAAGCAGTCTTCTTTCAACACAGTTTACGGGAGAGTCGCTGAGGGCAGGGCAGGATGCTCAGAGCTGGGCAAGTGGGAAAGATGAGTGACAATTACAAGTAACCACAGAAGCAACAGAAGATGCTAGGAACACAGGGGCCACCCTCACCTGGCCACACAGCAGGTTATTTCTTCTCCCATCTCCAACCCAATTTAAGTATCCGTTATGGGCCCTGAAAGCTTTTCAGTAGGAATTTCCGAGCAGTGAGACCGACTGTCGTGCTTATACTGACCAAGCCTGACGTCCCCTATTAGGGGACAGCGTTTTTATTACCAGCTAGGAAGCGCTCGTTTTACTAAGACACTGCCGTACACTGTTACACAATCTACAAATAAAAAACAGGTTAGACAGTTCCTATCAACAGTCCAGTATCTGTCAATTCCCAAACCTCATTAATCTGATGACAACTTGATTCGGATTTCACAAATATTCAGCATTAGAGTTCTTATAGGGGGTGCACCACCATTCCTCCCAGAGAGAGACTCTGGAAGTTTAAGGTAAACTCAGACTGCTCTACTGACACATCAGCCTTCTGGCCCCACCACTCCTGCTGAGACTGTGTTGCACTCGGGCCTCACCGCGTGCGGGTCTAAGCAGCTACTGGGCACGATGGTGATTAAGCTGCGTCTCAGGACATGCAAACAAGTGCCCCGCTGCGGCTCGGTCCAGGACGCTGTGCTCCCTTCTGATTACAGTGGCAGGCACTTGTGTTTGAGTCTACCCTCAAGGTAAATTAGTCTAGGCCAAGGCATAAAAACGGCACCAAACTCCCTCATAATAGTATGGGGGAGGGTCGTTTTACATCCATTATCATTTTTAAAAACCCTGATCGCCATTTCCTAAAACCATAGTCTTGACCAACAAAGGTTTAGAAGTGACTTGAAAACTGGGTATGTTTTACCAGGGGGTCTCCGTAGGATTAAATCCTCGCAATGGAACTGTCGTGATTCAGGCCAGGTCTGGGACAGTCCAGTGTTGCCAGAACCCTGCACGTGGACTCGCCAAGACCTGGGGCCTTGCTGACCCTGGCTTTTGGTGTGCTGCCTGCTTAGTGGCTCTAAGGCTGGCAGGCAAGGGAGGCAACACTTGGGAAGCAAAGAGATGGGCTACAGGGACAGGGGAGGGCGCAGGGGACTGCTGGGCAGCAGCCACAGTACAAAGACATCAATCAGATTGACTTCCCCCCCCCAAAAAAAAAGCAGCAGAACAGGATGTGAAAGGTGCTATGGAGACCAGGACCTCCCCAAGCCCCCCAGCCTCTAACTGCAAAATAAACTCAGAATCTCCCAAACTCAAAATTTATTTTTTAATCCTTACCTGAGGATATTTTTTCCATTGCTTTTCAGAGAGAGTGGAAGGGGGAGAGAGGGAGAGAGGGAGAGAGGGAGAGAGAGAGAGAGAGAGAGAGAGACTTTGATGTGAGACACATCAATTGGTTGCCTCCCGCATGCTCCCCAACTGAGGCCAGGGATTCAGCCTGCAACCAAGATACATGCCCTTGGCAGGAATCGAACCCGGGATCCTTCAGTCCGC